GCTTCAGGTCTTGTTTTAGCTGACTTATTTCAAGTTTGAGCTTTTCCATCTTTGGCTGCAATGTATATAATCAATCTGATTTTTATATTGACCATCTGGTGACATCCATATGTTGAGTCTCCTTTTATGTTGTTGGAAAAGAGTATTTGCTATGACCAGCATGTTATCTCGACAAAACTCTGTTGTGTACTTCATTTTGTACTCCAAGGCCAAACTTGCCTGTTATTCCAATTATCTTTTAATTTCCTACTTTAGCATTCCAATCCCCTATGATGAATGTGACATCTTTTTTGTGTTATTTTTAGAAAGATTTTGTGGGTCTTCATAGAAGTGATCAACTTTGGACTCTTTGGCCTCAGTGGCTAAAGTATAGACTTGTATTACTGTGATTTTGAATGGTTTGCCTTGGATTCAAACATATCATTTAGTCATTTTCGAAATTATACCCCAGTACTGCTTTTCTCACACCCTTTTATTGACTACAGGGGCTATGACATTTCTTCTTGCCCACAGTAGTATATGTAGTGATCATCTGAACTAAATTCACCCATTGCCATCCAATTTAAGTTCACCGACACCCAGATGTCAATGTTTAATCTTTCCATCTCCCATTTGACCGCTTCCAGCTTATCTTGGTTCATAGATCTTACAAGTCCGGGTCCTTGTGTAATATCGATCTTTACAGTTTTGGATTTTATTTCGTCATCAGATGCATCCACAGCTGAGCTTCCTTTCATCTTTGGCTCAGCTGCTTCATTCATCCTGGAGTATTTCTAGTTGTCCTCCACTCTTCCACAATAGTGTATTGGACACCTCCTTACCTGAGGGGCTCATCTTCCAGTGTCATCTCTTTTATCATTTTAGTGCTGTCCATGGGGTGTTCTTGGCAAAGATACTGGAGGAGTTTGCCATTTCCTTCCCCAGTGGATCACCTTTAGGCATGACCTGTCCATCTTAGGTAACCCTGCCCGGCATAGCATATGGTTTTATTAAGCTATAGAAGCCCCTTGGCCACAATAAAGCAGTGTGGAACATCCCCTCCC